AAAAAGCTCAAGAGCGTTTTTTTTTTTAATTACAAAAAAAAAAAAAAAAAAAAAAAAAAAAAAGCATAAAAAAGAGCAACATTCGTGCATGCATCATGAAGTTATGAAAGTTGTACTCACCTGTAGAGGAACACAGCTAGTGTGATACCACACAGAAGGAATCCAATTGCAGGTGGGAGTATGTATAGAAAATATTGTGATGAAATTGATTCTGTATAAAATCAGCAGAGAATTCATTTAAATAGCTTATTTGACTATTTTACTAGAAGTGATTCATCTGCCTTTTTTCGCTACCCACCTTTGGGACTATCAGACACAGTTAAATTCCATGTAATGATGTTTACACCACGGTTGCTTGCTATGCTACATTTATAAAGTCCTTCATCTTCGGGCAGAGCACTAAAAATAATTAGCTTTGTAGGAAAGTCATGATTTATTTTCAGTCTATAAAATGAGAAATTTGAATAGGTGCGATTCAGCTGAATGGAATATTGAAAAACAGAGCTGTTGTTGGTCCAGGAGATTTGTGTTGTATTTGTCTTGGATATGTTGCAAGTCAGCGTCACTGAGTCTCCTCTGGACACCATCATAGCTCTGTTTTTGTCTTGAAGCATTGCTGAAGTTTAGAGGGAAAAAATATCTTAATATAAAATGTGGATATCTCTAACAGTGTATGAAGTTTAATGGCGACAATAAGTCAATATAAATATATATCGGTATCTAATCTAGAAAAAAACTAATCTTAAACACAAATGTAGTCTTTACCTGCAGAGACATGCCACATCACTAATAGCTCGATGAAGAGCAGTGCTGCTTGGTTTAGCTTGAACATCATGATTATCAGACAGAGAGAGAAACAGACCTGAACTTCCTGTCAGCTTTATTTGTGTCTGAGGAGGAGCCACAAAAAGGAAGTGGCAAGTTGCTTTATTTCTGAATTCTGAACTAATGTATGTGAATGTGTCACCATATGTTGAAACCATAATTTACATAGATGTAATGTATGAAATGAATCCGGTTAACAACAAATTGTCAAAATCCAAACACAATTCAAGAAACTAAACACAGTTATATTGCAAATAACTGGTAGCACCACTTGTGGCAGTTCAAATCCCTCACAGGAATGAAAAGGATGTGATGGAAAGTTGCATCGTGGAGCTGACAAATCTGCAGATACTTTTTGACGCTTTCACATCAGTTTGAACCAAAATCGCTGAGGAATGTCTCCAGAACCTAATTGAATCTTTGCCACCAGAAATTTAATTTAATTTTGTTTCACACATGGAACAACAGTAATTCATTTCCTATACACAAACCTTCCTTTCAATTAAACTAACAAAATTAAGAAAACGGCGTCAAATCCGGTACTCAGCTCACTGAGAAATTAAATGCTATTATTCCAATGTAAAAGATGAAGAACCAACTCAGAACCAAAACCAAGACTAAATTCACCAAGTAGTACAAAACTAAGAAACATCATGAATATTAAGCAAACCAT